TGTTACTACTAAAACTGGGTTTGCTGTGAATGCAACGTTGCCCAGCTGCTAAGTTTGCACTACCATCAGTAGCTGATCACTGGTGAGTTATTGATAGCCCTGGGCCCTCTGAATTCACCTTCCAGGCTCTGCTGTCCCTTCAGATCTGTACTCCTTTTGTCTGCAGCATATAAGGTCATAGATAGTTCTACATGCCAGAGTAGCTAGATGCTATTTGACATAACACAGCATAAGTACTGGTTATTGCCATATATGTAACAGTTCTTAACGCATTACACAGCACAGTTGTACAAAGCTAAACGAAACTAAAATTTGTTAGGTAAATGCCACCTTGTCATTAGCCAGTTGCTATAACAGCTAAAAAAGTTAAAATAAAGCTCCAAGCAAGCCAAGACAAGCCAGACAAAGTAAGCCTTACAGCCCTAGTCCCACATGTGAAGTTAGCAGAAGACCTGTGGCTGGTAACAGGCACAGCAATACTGTCTTTACTGGATTATAAGGCTACCTAATAAGTCATAAGCTAGTCAACACAGTCAATGGCGTGTGGAGAGCTATTCAGCTCACTGGAATAATTTGGTTAAAACTGTAACATCAGGCATATCTAAAAAGCTATCTTGATTATTATCTTTCTTTACTGCTGAGACTTTATAACTTCAATGCTTTCTAAAACACCTTTATTAGATATGAAATTAGGTGTGAAATTCTGCTCTAAGTAGTTGATAATTTTGTGTGTCAAATCTAAAAGACATCAGAGAATGGATGGACCTGTTTATACACACAAAGGAAGGACTTGAGAGTTTACTGAAAATTTTACTCAGTTTTTTTCAAGTAAATGTCAGTTTCCTGCCTTAAAGCCTGTTTTCAGTCTCCTCATCTTTTCTGGAGACTTCTCTTCCATGAAAGATTACAAATAAAAGAAGTTTTAAAAGAAGGTCTTGTGAAAACTTCCATAAGAATTGCATTAATTAAGAGATACATAGCATTTCTGGAATACAGTTATCTATTACTTTCTGTCCTCATTAGGGCAATTCATCCCAAATTACTAACAGTAACTGGAGTAGTTCTATCAAAAGGAAAAAATGAACGTAAGGTGAAGATTTTCCCACTGACTAGTAAAGTCTTAAGTGAATGACCTGAATTGCATAGTAGGGAGGGGGATTTTGCCTCTGTGATCTTTTTTTCTTTATTTTCTTTTTTATTGTGTTTTGCATGGGGGGATGAATTCAAGGAAGGAGGAATGCTTTTTACTTTTCTTTGTATGCAGAGGAATGTAGGTTGCATATCTTGCCCTGGTAGTCTTTGTGACGTGAATTTCCTGAAGCACTGATTAAGCTACAAGCAATAATGAGGAAAAATAAACCAGACAAAGAAAAGAACTACTGAGCTTTTATCCATTTACCCTAATTTTTTGTATGTGATTTGATCACTTGTTTACGGTCATAATTATTTAGTATTCTACTTTAAGGTCGCAGTTTACGAATTAATTCTTTATGCAGTAATCTTGGTCTGCATTTTTGCTGGGGGGAAAAAAGCAAGGCAAAAACATTCATTCTTACGAATTTCAATCTCAGATCTAGAAATGGTCTGTCATTTTTTTTGGTTTCAACAGCAAGGTGTTGCTAAATGGATCTGGAAAGATATTACTTCATTTTGCATAGCTTCTCTGTAAGAACCAAGTCTTTGGGGGTTTGATGGAACGAAGATATTCAATAAATTGTCCATATTTTCTATACCCAAGTAGCCACAGGCTCTTTCTGTCACTTGGTTACTATTTTGGGCTCCAGATGAAATTCTTGTGGAATATTTTTAGAAATGCAGTTTCCCAACCGTCTTACCTTCCTGTGTGTCCTGCTTCTGCCAAAAGAGCGGCGTCTTCATCCTCTGTCTTTGCTTGGAAGGACCTAGCCAAAAGCCAGTTTTGGTGATCCCAAGACTCTTAATGATTGAGTTCATCTCAATGATCCAACAAGAAACTCTGCATTTTATTTTTGCTGGGTTTATTTTTTGCCATTAGAGTCAGTTCCTGGATGCAGAAGTAGCCAGAGGTAAATGATGTGTAAGTCCTTTTGCAAATGGGGAAGGGAACAGACCCTTTTGGTTGGCTCCTTAATCGGCTTATCCTGTCTTGTAGAAACACAGACTGAGGATGTTATTTCATTTTCAGCCTTAGTCAACGTAAGACTTCTGCCAGCAAAACGCAGTGTGCTTGCTCTGCCTCCACATGATGTGTGCATTTGTATCCTCTGTGCTAGTGCTTATGGAGCTATGCAGTCAGCCACATTGATGGGGCTGAAAACTAACCCTGCCAGGAGAGAGAAAAAAGAAAGAAAGAGGGGGAAAAAAAAAAAAAAAAGACTTACTGGTCCAGTTGAATGTGCAGCTGCATAGGTGGGGAGAGCTGGCACAATGGAAGAGTGGGCCAGGCAGTGGATAACATACCTTCCCCCTTTTGACAGCAGCGCAGTCTGTGAGAATACGCCATAAAGACGGCATTTTCAAAGGATTATGTACTCTCACTGATGTCATCAGTTAAAGCCTCCTTGAGAACAGAATTATGGCTGTTTAATAATTTCTGCAAATCACACTTTCAAGGACTATCTGCCTTAATTCCCATATTTGCAAATGAGACTACCATTGCAGGTGGAACCAAGCCATAGTTCACATTTTTAACCTACACACAGAGTCCATAAGAAAGAATGCTAGATAAAAACACTGTATTATGTAGCTGAGAGACTGAAATGGGTGGAATTTATTGTTTTTCCCTGAAAAGCAGGGATGGAGGAAGTGGAACAACTTGGAGTGTTAATTTGTTCAGGTGAAATCCTGATGGGATTGACAGAATGAAATTACTTTCGGAGCCTTAAGAAATATTCTGTGATATGGAATTTGTATTTTCTGGCCTGATAAAGAAATGGCAAAACATAACAACATTGAAAATATTAAGTCTTGAGGATGATGCAGTTGCACGCCTATTTAAGGAGGGAGGATTTACAATAAGGTCTTTACTCACTAAAACCTGAAGTAGAGGAAGCATCTCCATAGATGGTCAGCAATTTAGGTATTCAAAGAAGGAAGGAACTTAGTTCTGAACCTTTGTTTTTAATGGTCTCTGTCTGGATGAGGGCAGTTGTGTACTTTAGCATTGGATTTGTGGATCTGAGAACAGAAGGAAATACTTTGCTTTTTGTCGTTCATCCATTTTTCCTAAGGTTATGAAAATTTGTGAACATTTCTCTACCCTCCCACTCTGCCTCAGTGCTTTCCATCTTGCTTGGCAGTTGTTGTACTGTTCATTTATTCCCCTTCTACTTTTTGCGGACATGCTGGGGACAACAGTGACTTCTAACAGTAGTTAACTTTCAAAATGGCATTTGCCACAACATAAAAGTCTTTTACAGTTATGTAAGTTAAATGAAGCATTTAATTAAATTCTCCTTTGGTGAGGAGAAATAGGTACCATGGAACTATTTATAAAGTATGGATTTATACAATGATTTGGATTGATGTTTGATTTTCAAAGTTTAAAAAAGAGCAAAAGATTAAATGGATTTGTAAACCTATTATAAATATTTGTCCAATATACCAGTATGTTTACTATGTGTGAAGTATTTAATAATGTTGACACCAAGTCTTTCACTTTAATTTTACAGGCTTGCAGCCATTTAGCCAAATTTTCTTTCTTAGGCTGAATTTTTCTAGGTCAAAAATCATTCAACACATTCAGAAAACATTGCTTGTGTAAATTGACAATATTTGAAAAGAAAACTGACCCCTTTCAAATAGGTCAACTGAATGTTTGAATGCTGTAAGAAGTTATGTACAGTGAAATGGAGTTGCAAGTTCTAGAGAGAAAGAAAAATGCATGGATAAGGAGGAGATGGTGTACATGAGTCTCTTGACATTCACAGAAGTTAGAAGAGCCTTGAGACAATTTTATGGCCCTCCTGTAGGACAGACACTGCAGTGGAACAGATTTCTGGGGTACTCAGAACTTAAAATTTCTTTGCAGACCATTGCACAACTCTGTCCAGGAATCTTAACTAGGAATTAAAACCAGGATTTCCAGATGATGGAGGCAGAACCAGCTGTGTTCCTACACAGGAAACATTATTGGCAGTTGCTCTCCTGGAGGGAGGCCTTTTGAAAGGGTTCTTCATACCAGTTTAGTGAAGACAGGGTTGCAACGCCGGTGTGGATTCCCCTGATAACGTCTGGCATTGTTACTGTGCAATTCTATCCCAGTAATGAACACTGGTAGCATGAGTTAGTCAGTGCTTTGATTCTGAGTGAAAAGGTTATAAAGGCGATAAAGACCAAGGGGAAAAGTGCTGAATTTTCACACTTGAGTGAGCACCAATAGGAAGGGTTGTGGTTTTGCTTGCGTTTATAAGCCTGTTTTCATTTCAAAGGGGTTTGATACATGTAACTGGGAGTGGAGTTTGACTCCAAATATAATTTTGAGAGTTATGCTACCTCAGTGATCTGACAATGCACTGGAAAGGTTAAATTGAGTGCAGATTGTTTAGCTTTGGTATGATGATTAATTTCAAGTGATATGTTATGAACACTAATTTCAATTATTTACTGAAAAAGCCAACAAATCTCATGGGAACTCTACGAAGTAAAACAAAACCAGTTGACTGTGATTTTTGTCCCAAATGAACTAATCAGGTGATTGTGACCTTGAGACAGGGTCTCTCCTCCAGCTCTCCCTTCCCCTCTCCTAGGTACAGAACTGACATAGTCATCTGTCCACTTGAGAAGTCCTTGATACTGTTCATATTTAACATCATTATCAAAGGTCCTTTGCTTCCAAGCTTAGCCATTAAAATAGATGAGATGGGAAATGCTGACATGATAGTTTTGCAAATGTTATCTGAGAGGTTTGCATATATTATTAAATCTCTTAATGAAGATGATGAAGAATCAGCCAATTAACAGCTCAGAATTAGGTATATTGCTGCATTAATTCTTGTTCCTCTTTTCTTTTGATATTTCAGTGCTACGGCTATTGAAGGATGGCGCTGACCCTCATACGCTTGTTTCCTCAGGAGGCTCCTTGCTCCATGTGGTAAGAGTGATTGAAGATTAATGTTAGTGACTATGGATAAATATGGTGGGATACCGAGTAGCAGATTGGGCATATTAACAAAAAGAAAGGCTTAGGCTTAGCAATAATTTTTTATCTACACTGTTGTCCACGGTGGTTATGATTGCATCCAGCTATGTGTGTGAAATAAATGGTCGTTTTCAAATTGCTTACAAAAGGATGGATCATGTCATAGGAATGGTAACTAACAAAGTAGAATGAAATGTTTTATTTATAAATTATCTGTATAGTAAGAAAGAACAAAGGAAATATTGCTTGATTCCGAAGATAGGATTATATGGTCCAGAGATTCACAGGTCCTATGTGAAAAACACCATGATGTAACATTTTTCCTTTTGTTTCTGTGCCTATTTTCTTGTACCAATTTCCTACACGTGGATATTTAACACATTATCTGCATTTATTTTATCATTATTTGTATAGCAATTTAGATTAAGTAACTGGAAGATAAAAGGAAAACAGTTTGTATACAATGACCAAAAGAGAAGCAAGATGTAAGGGCATGTGGAGGAAAGACTGACAGGCAGACAGGAAGAAAATACTGCAGAGGTAAAATTTTGGCTTTGCTGAAGGCAATGGCAAAACTCATCATAAATTCCTCAGTTTTATGATCCTTTACTTTGGTCTGTGATGCTTCAGTTGCAGACATGCTTTCTATTCGATGTGAAACTATTTTAAGAAATTTGGATCCAACTTTGTTGCACAATGCTGCTAAAATAAATGTGTCTTCACAAATACAAGGGCATAACAGATCTAGTGAAAAGTCTGCTGGCATAGTGTTTCATTTTAGAACAGTTGGATTAAGTTTCTCATAATATGTACACAAAATAGAGTGATTTCTTGACGAAGAAAAGGATCCTATAATATTACTGGACTCCAGCTCACCTGTGACCGTGGTCTTGCAAGATGTAGCGTTTCCGTTATGTAATTAACCTGTGTTTTCCAACTTCCATGGCCATGCTGCTTACCAAGGGCTTTGGGAAATAGAGGCCTAGATAAGGGGAGGGTGCAGTAATGAGTTGGAACAGAGAAAATTTAAGTTCTCTTTCCTCTCCTCCAACTATTTACCTGCTGCAAAGGTGCTCAATCATTCTTTAAAAATGCAGCCCATACGAGATGTTAGCTTTGGGATTCCCAAAATTAAGGCATCCCAAATCTTACCCTGTGCTGAAAGCCCTAGGAGACAATCTTTATCTTCAGTGTGGCTGATGTGACATCTGTCTCACTGGCATTTTAAAATAGAAGAAAGAAAAATCCATCTGTAGGGATTTTAGGTTGCTTTGTCTAGTTCAGCTGATGCAAACGTTTTAACTGCAGATCAAATCTGAACTGTGCCTTTTTAGGTTTCTTGATCTTCTGCATCATGCCCCAATTCACTGTCACAATCAGTATGTCTCCACTGGTGCCTGCTGCTTCACAGGCACACATGCTTCAAAAGGAGGGAAAGCTTCCTGCAGTAAGAAATTTGCAATAGAGAACTGTGTGTAACCTACTGCCTTAGTTTAGTCAGAGTTACTTATAAGTACTCATAATTCATTTACAGGAAAATGCTGGTCCCACTGGAGATGGGGCAAACCTGATTTCAATAAAATTTGGATTTGACCCCTATCTGGGAGCAGTACACATAGAAGAGGAGAGTCATGATACAGGGAAACAGATAAGCCAAGTTTATTTTCCTGCAAGAACTCAAAATAGTAATTTGGCATGCATCTTTATTATATTTTTAAAGCCCACTCAGATCCATTCTAAGTACTAGTTTTACCACTATAATTCTATGTAAGCTGCTTTCTCCAAAGGGGAGCCTAATCAGTGTTTATTCTTTCCAGTTGCAGGGTAAATGTGTTTATTCCAGAATGGATGGAAAATATATTTATCTTCACATTTTACTTAAAAACTGATACATGATATAATTCCTTTTTCTTTTTCTGTTAATTTCCAAAATGTGATATATTTCTAAAAAAAATCAAATGTGACATTTCATAAAGATTCTGTTGCTATCTCTGTAACAGTCTCCCAGTATGGTTGAATCTCAGGGAAGCCATGGGAGCTTCAAAGGTATTCACTGAACTCTCGTTAGACTCCATGAGAGGAGAAGTACAAAAAAAGAGAGTACTTGCCTGAGTTGTCCATTCAGTGGGAAGCGCATAGTGTCATATCAATTCACGCAGGCAATCACCGAACCCGCCCTAGTAACAAAGTATACGAGTGCCAATTTGCTCCTGGAACATTGACTGAGATCGCCCAATTGCTCCACAAAATCCATTAAACAAGAATCAAGGGTCAGCGGCAATTAAGTTGCTGCTACAAACCTAGGCTGTTTTCAAACAGGTAACTAATCACAAAAGGCTGTGTATCTGTTATTAATACACAGAATAGTTCAGTGACATCTGTCGTTTGTTTTGTATGGAAGCTCTCTAGAAAATTTTTTTGCTTAACAATGCCTTGAAAATATGATTGGTATGAGATTATGTTGATTTGTATTATAAAATGTGTTATCTCTGATTTGTTGAAGCTTGAACATTGAACAGCTCAATGTAAGTTACACTACTGATACAATGAATGATACTGATGCAACAAAACAAAACTTCTGTCTGTTTCTAGAGCTGCCCAATAAGTTGCAAGCTAAAGGAAAAACGTCAGAACTTTAATTTCTGTTCTATAATTTAATGCTCAGTATGTTTGGAAATCATTTAAAGCAGGACTGCTTTTTAGCCTGATAGAGTTTAATTTTCATCATCTGAGTTATCTATATTTATTATTGCAGTAGTACATGCAGCTCCTACATTCAGTTGAATATCTCAGCTATGTCTTGACTTCACAGTGGAATCCAGTTAAGCACTTTTCCTTCTTCCCCTTTTCCTCCTGTGTCCTGGCTTCCATGCCAGATTAATACAGATCAGCAAACTGGATGCCATGTTGTGGCTCCACATGCGATACCGACATAACAACATAATTATTAACCCTCACTTGCAAATTATCTGCAGATTTCACTACATTTGTACTCTCAGTGTATATGTGTGCTTTTTGGGACAGGGAAATATTATACAGCTTTAAATATTGGAAGAGGCGTAGATGTTAAGGATTGTATTCAAAGCATCTAAGTATCTAATACAGAAAATTAGTCTCCCTGTAACCTGTCTCCAGTGGGGAAAGAGGGAGGATCCTTCCCTAAAGAGTTACTGAGTTTGTATGTTAGGCCAGAGTTAGGATCTTAACTTAGGTGCCCTGATTGTCTTTTAAAGTATTATCCATAAGCGCATCCATAAAAAGTCACCGATGTGACAGAGGAGTAAGCTCAAAACAACAGCTAAGCCAGTTTCTTCTTCTCTGCCAAAATTAGTGACCTCCGTCATCAAAACAAAGTATAGAAACACACACACACACATGTGTGCAACCCCCCCCCCCCAACACACCCTTAGTGTTCAGAGTATTTATCTGTCAGGGAGACTTGAATAGGAATCAGTATAGTTAGTGGATTGGAAATAGGAGTGAGTATGGAGAGGCGTGTATTACTGCTATGAACCGCCTAAGGGCAGAAGGCAGAAGTTCACATACACGTGGACATATGTACTTGTGGGTGTACATATACTTAGATGCCACTACTCATGATGTGATCATCATGCACTGATACCTGTGCACTGATTTGGAATTACAGTATTGAACAGAAAGAAAGCCTCATCTTTACTGTAGATTGCAGCAGATTTCATACAGTGCTTTTTCACAGGGAATAGGGATTCTGTGAATCATGCACATGGAACTTGTAGTCTCCACAAAACTATTTCTCTAGATTCATCAGCTGTTGTCCCCTACAAATACAGCAGTTTAACTGCAGTGCATCATCTGCTGAATTTAAATGTTAAATGGAGGAAAAATCTTATGTAATAAATTCAGTTGTGCACTGAGTAAAACATCATCCCTAATCTGTTCTTCTTTCTTCTAGTGTGCCCGCTATGATAATGCATTTGCTGCAGAAATTCTAATTGACAGAGGAGTAAATGTAAATCATCAAGATGAGGATTTTTGGACATCAATGCATATAGCCTGTGCCTGTGATAATCCTGATATTGTCCTGCTACTGCTGCTAGTAAGTAAAGCAATCCAATGCATTATGTGCTTGAAAAGGAAACAGAATCTAACTGGGGGGAGTAGTCACAGTGCCTGTCGCGGGGGTTGGAGTAGTCACAGTGCCTGTCGCCGGGGTTTGAGTAGCCTCAGTGCCTGTCACCAGGGTTGATCTCTGGATAGTATTCTTAAATAATTGTTTAATCTTAAACAAGTCCTGAACCACATTCAGGAGACATAGCAATAGGAGCATGCTGGCTTCAACATCCCAAGGATATTCAAAATTCTCAAGAGCTGTTGTAACTAGCCTGAAGGAGAAAGGGAAGGTGAAGGAGCGGGGGAAGGTGTGTCCCCCTGCCTCCCCTGTAGATTGGTTGCCCGAGGAGAAAAGGTAAACGGTGTAATTATTATTAGTTTTCAAAAGGTAAGTCATCCCGAGGTACGGTGATGATGGCAATGCCAAGTACAAATACAAGAGTACAAATACAAAAATTAGTCTCATGACCAAAAATTTTATCACGTCATAAACGAGTAGTGTTACACAATGCAGCAAAATGATATCCTTGACCCAGCTCCCAGAGGTGACAAACAGCACAACAGGGAACATGTACTGCAAGTAAGGTGTTACATAACACAACTCTGAGAGCAAGCACGACAACTTTGAGAGTAAATTAATCAACATTGTGACCAGCAACTGTTAAACCAATATGACGAATGCTTATGACAAATTTGCCGTAACACACTCTGGTCAGATCTGTCGTTATCTCAACTCTTTGTGCCCCACGTTGGGCGCCAAAAGGACTGTTGTGGTTTAACCCGTTGGGCACCTAAACACCACACAGCCGTTCACTCGCTCATCCCCCCTCCAGTGGGCTGGGA